AGCCTGGAGTCTACTTTGGATTCTGTGTCTGCCTCTCTCTCTGCCCTTCCCTGCTTGCACTCTCGCTCTCAAAAATAAACAAACATTGAAAAAAAAAAAAGGTCTTAAGAATACTTACGGTCTCCCCAGGTAAGGGTTTAAGTTTGCCATCTCGAGCTGCTGCCTTCACTTCCTGCAGATCTCTCTCTAGATTCTGTACCACACTCAGTGCAGAATCCATCTCCAAAGGCCCACATGCTTCCTGAGCCTACAATAACAAGGAAGTCTGGGTACAAGAGGTACTGCTGTGTTCCACTAATGTCCCATGTTATACAATTATCCCTGTTTTAGGTTATTCTGCAGACTCCCCATCATCCCAGAACTCCACCCTCATTTTCCAAAGATGGCCAGCTCCCTTACCTTCTGGGCAGCGGTCCGAAGTTCAGCCAATGCAGTGCCAAGGTTTTTAGCACACTGACTCAGCTGCATGGCCGAAGCCTGGTCCTGAATTGTTGGCACTGAGGCCTTTGCAGCGGCCACCATCTTCCCACCTGGCTGTTGAGGAACAGGTGGGCAGATGAATGTACCATTTGCTTGGGTACAGGGACTAAAGATGGTTTGGACACTGAGTGCCGCAGCTCAGTCTGGGAAGGAGGCTACTGGTAGAGCTTCAAACTGTGGGTGATCTAGGGGATTTAGAAGGGTGGGAAGGGTCTCGTCTGAGAGGTGGGGAGAGGGTGCCTTGCCTGCAGGAAGCTCTGGCTTGCAGCAATGAGGGCCAGCTGAGCACTGGGACTGTCGGGCTGAGCTTGGCTCCCTCGGACGCCCTGCACCAGCAGTGGAATCTGTTCTGCCACAGCCTGTGGGTGAAAATGTCATGAGAGCCACCTCCCCATAGACTGGGGGAAAGTCCCACTCGTCCCACATCTCCTCCCACCAAGTCTCACCTTGCAGCTCTGCACCAGCACAGGCTGGGGGCCAGCAGAGGCCTTGGGGGTGGAGGCTGCATGCTGGGCTGCCGCAATAGTCTGTGTAGCTGAGGCTGCAGCCTGTTTGGCTGCGTGCTGTGAGGACAGAGTAGTTAGGACAAGCCCCAGGCGCTCCCCTGCCCAGTCCCTGGCTCACCTTGGCCACACTATCCCACAAGGAAACAGTGACAGAGTCTCTCTCTGCACAACCCTCCCGGTTTCATTCCTCCCACAGCACCCACACTCCCGCTCCTGGGTTATTTCCTAGCTTCACCTCCAGGCGCTGCACCAGCTTCTTCTTGATGGCATTCTGCGCAGCCGCGTTGGTGGCCATGCGCAGACCCTCAGCCGCCTCCCGCAGCCGCTGCTGCTGCTCCTCACTGTCAGGGTGAGCGGCTGCTCCCTGAGAGAAGTGGAGAGACGGTCCTCACCCAGCATCCCTGTGCGCCCCAAATAAGCTCTGCTCTGACCTCTCCAGACTCAAATGTTTTCCTAAAGTCCCCACTGAAAGGTAATCACAGCTGAGATGAGCTGCCTCAAGAAGGCAAAGGGGAATCAAGGGGCCCCTAGATTCCCTTTGGGCCCTTTTTAGGTAGAACCGTTTCTTCTTTCCCTTTTGGGGGAAGAAGCCATGTTTCTTTCCCTACTGCCCCCTAAATGCCACTGGCAAAAGGGTGTGTTTAAGGCTCTTTGGGACAAGGAGGACTCAGTTTAGAGCAGGGATTTCAAAAACCAAAGCAGGGGAGCTGGTTACTCCTGCCAACTGGAAAGCCCCAGAGCCCGGGGAGTGCAAGAACCTCTCGGCTTCTTCCCGACGGTCGTCTGCACCGTGTCCCACTGCCTGTCTTTCTCTGTACTGCTGGCAGCAGAGGCCCCAGGACTGAGTGCTTATATGCATTCCCAGGACAGGCCATGAAGCAGAGGGATCCAGGAAGCAGGCAGGTGGTGGCAACAAAGTAGGGAAAAGTAAGGATAGCAGAGCGTGGACTCAGAGGAAGAAAAAGGGCATGTCGGTCACCAAGTACCCTGGCAGTCACAGTGGCTGGAAGCCTGGGCCCCTATGCACCTGAAGCTGAGGGTGCCTTTACTTCCTGAGTGCTCTTATATTTTCTGCTTTTCTTGGGTCTCTCCCATCAGAAAAGGGTGACCATCTGGACCCTTCTACTTCCCTTCAGGTCTCAGTCTGGGAGTTGGCCACAGAAGGCTGGTACCTTGGCAGCCTCCACCATCTTGGCTGTGGCATCGGCCAGGATCTTAGCAGCGCTTAATAGCTTGCGAGAATTCTCCAGATCACTCTCCCCCTCGGCATCAGCCTTGATGGCATTGACCAGGTCAGAGGTGGCTTGGGCTAGGATGCGAGCCTGTCGTACCATCTCACCTGAGAGGACAGAGCACTATCAGGTAAGGAAGCCAGAGACACTGCGAGGGTGCCAGGGTGGGGGAAAGGGGTGCAGGCAAGGTAGATAGGGCTCTTGGGGGGGCAGTTACAGAGACACAAAGGTTCTCAAAGTGATTCCCCTGGAGTTATTGTATTTTGGGTTTAAGATCTTGGAGAGGGACAGATTTCCTGGTGAACTTTTATGGGAGAGAAGACAGTCTCTAACAAGTATTTTCAGTAAATAGTCTTGCACTCCCTGTGAAGGAGTGCACTCCTTTCGGGAGTGAGCAGGTAGGGTGGAGTGGAGAAGGCTATTTCTTAATGCCACCTTCCAACTTCCAGCTACGTTTGTGTATGCTTTTGTATATCCTCCAAAATATACCAAAGAAGGCAGAACGGGGATCACATTCCTGCTTTACAGATGAGAAACTGGAAGTTTCAGAGAGGTTAATAAGTACATGGTCTACTCTGCTGAGTCCTTAGCGGGGACTGGCAGGTCTGCAAGGGAATGCCCAATGGGCTCGGGGAGCCTCAACAGGGTTCTCTGTCTTCCCAGGAGTGGTGTCCTTACCAGCATCACCCATGGAACTGAAGATGTTCTCGGTGACAGTGAGGATGGTGTCAGTGGCCTGGTCATAACGGCCAGCAGGCCCAGCCCCTGAGGCATGGGCCTTCACGTGCTGCAACAGCTCATTCAGGGCCTGGGTGACAGCTGTGGCCGCCGCTCCTACCCCCCGCAGCAGCTGCCCATCGTCCGTGGCTGCCTGGGAGGCGGACACACAGCCCTCCACGGCTTTGGCCACCAGGCGTCCGGCCTCCACCAGCTGCTCTTGGCAGACAGGTGAGCTGATTGTAGGTGCCACCACCTGTGGGCAAAGCAAGTGTCAGAGATGAAGGCAATGGAAAGGAGTCGTGAGGAGTCCCACAGCCACCGGAATAGGTAAGAAGGAGCCAGAGAGGTGAAATGAGAGGCTCCTGTGTGTGGCACCATCACCCCTCAGCACAGGTTAATGCAACCTTTGTGGCTCACCTTGGTACAGGCCACCAGCTGGGAGGTAGACAAGGCACACTGTGTCGCTGCAGCAATGACCTGGGTCTGAAGCCCTGAGTCCTCTGTCCGCTGGGCCACACTCTTGGCCTTGAGGACCAAGGCAGCTGCAGCACTTGCCACGGCCTTGGCTAGCTGCATTAGTACGTCCTGTGAGAAAAGCACTGTCAGCATGGCCTAAGATCGAGCGTGGGATCCATGGACCCTTCTCAGAGGCATGAGCGGTTTCATTATTCCCACTGACTCCAATCACTGGATAGTGTATGCAGAAGCAACCAGAAGCTACCCCAAGCCCCTGCCTTGAGCGCCCAGTAGGACAGAATACCCACCAAGAAACAAACCCACACCGAGAGAAAGAGAGCCTACACCAGAGGGAGAAACGCACGAGGCGGATACACTCGGACCGCAATGGGGAGGGAGGGGCGGTGCTGTTACAATGGGATGGAGAGAGGTACCTCTTGGGGTCCCTCCCACCCCCAGCTTTTTTTCCCCATTTCTTCTCAATCTTGGTTGGAAGCAGTCACCCTGGAGTACAAGACCCCATACAACCCTCCCGGATCCCATTTTCCCAAGTCCTGCCTGTGACATGCCTCCCCATCTCCATCATGTTCTGCCCCCCGAGGAGGCTGGGGGAGAGGTGCAGAGCGAGTGTATGCGGCTCAGAGAGAACAAAGCTGGGAAGGCCCAGGCCAGAGGCCATTACCGTGGGGGGTTCGGGGGGAGATCGAACCCCAGCCCCTCTGGGTGCACATATCTGCGTGGGAAATCCAGGATGACAAGTCAGCTGAGGAAACTGGCATGGGGTGGGGAAGGGGGAGCTAGAGGAACAGTGTCCTCAGGGTGGTATGGAGGCAGGTTCAAGATGTCGAGTTGGGACAAAGGCTATATATGGGGAAGACAAGGAGAAGATGGCAGGCGACTACAAAATATCATCAGCCAAGGGTGACCTGGTAGATTCAGTTTGGATTCAGGGGTTCTAAATTTTCATGCCCTCAAAAGGGAATGGAGGTTCCCAGTGTCATTCCCTGCAAACAGATGTTCCGTTTGGCGCTGAGAAGTCACTTTGTAGTAACAGGACTAGGAGCTGGATTCAGGGTCAGAGGTTACTTCCAAGAAGCTTCCGTTCTAGGGGCTGGGTAAGTCACTAACCTGAAAGTGGGGGTCAGTATCACTTTCCCCAATTTGCTGCAACAGCTCCCCACTGGCCTGGCCCACGTTCCCAGCTGCTTGCAGCAGGTTCTGACGGGGCTGTGGAGAGTGGACACCGGTCAGAAGCTGCCCACAGGTCCCACACTTCCATCCCACAATCTGGACTGCCCCCTCCTCCTTTGGGGTCTCCTCCCTAGTGCCAGCAGTGGCCCCTGACCTCAGCGCTGGCTGGCTGGGCGCTGCGCAGCAGCTCTGACACCGCCCCGGCAAGGCCCTTCGCGGCCTGCAGCAGAGGCCGGCCACTACTGCCTTCATCCTCCAGCAGGGCGGCCAGCAGCTTCACGCCGCGGGACATCTCCGTCAGGTTGGAGGAGATCGTGGTGACTGCACAGCCCACTGCCGTGTAGTCTGTCTCCGCGGGGTCCCCTGAGGGAGGAAGAGGAGCACACGTGAGGCGAGCAGGCCAGACAATGGGCTAGAGAGGGGCAATCACAGGCGTTAGTCACAAACGTGTGCCGAGAGAGACACGGTCTCTTCCCTGAGTTGAGGGGCAGTCCCACCCGGAGCCAGTCACACTTGGCGCCTGCACGTGCTCCTCCTCCCCCACCCCCACCACATACAGATAGGACTTGGCATCCGGCCTACCTGCTGTCAGGTTCACCACGGAGGCAGTACCAGCTGTGATGGCATCTACCTGGGAGTGGATCTCATGCTTTGATTCATCCATCTTGTTCTTACGCCAGGCCTTAGAGGCCTGAAAGAGAAAGAGAGAGAGAGAGAGAGGCAAAGTTCAGGATCTGCTCTGGTCCGGTTAACCCCGATCCCGTTCCTGTGAGTCCCAGCCTCAGCACCGCTGGCCTCTCCTCCGTCCCATACTCACAGCATCCTGGCCCAGAGGGGGCAGAGTGTCAAAGTCATCCAGAGTGGCCTGGGCGGCTTGCACAGCCTGCATGCTAGAGTTAATGGTCCCAGTGAGTGCCTGCTGGGCTGATGTCTACAAGACAAGGGGAGGAGAAACAGAGAACGCTTAGAGGAAAGAGGAGGTGGGCTGGGGACAGGACTATGAACAGGGACGTGGGAAGACAAACAGCTGATATGGGGAGGAAGGCCTGGTACCGTGGTGGCAGTGGAAGCACTCTTACCAAAGGGGGCATGTGTCCCCGGTGCATCTGGCCGCTGGTAATCTGTTGCTGGGCAGGTGGCATGCTGCCCACCTGGAAATTCTCAGGACCAGAGGCTCCAGAGCGCATGATGGCAGGCAGGGCCACAGAGCCGTGCTCTACTTTCCCCACCCGGTTATACTGCTGCTGAAGGACTGTCGACCTAGAGAGGGGACACACGGGGCGGCACTCAGAGGACTGTTGTCTTAACCCCCTTGCCACCCAGCTGTACTACCTTTGCAGGTCCTGTGGTCTAGGGGGATGTGTGATAGCCTGTGACCGGTTAAGGAACCATCCTAGGGACTCCCCACCCCTCAACAGTTGTTGGAGTCAAGCCCTGCCTTCCCTGCCCCTGGGGGATGGGATCAGCCCAGGAACCTTCGTACTTTTTGGGGGACACTGAGTCCTCTAGCATAGTAGACTCCTCGTCTCCTTCCAGCCCAAAGTGATCCTTGCTTTTTTTCTGTAGGAAGGAAAAAGAAACAAGAATTAAAGAAGAGAGAGGCAGGGAAAAAGCAGCCTCTTCTTTCCCTACTCAGCCTTTTTCCAGAACCTGGGTCCTCACTTCTAAAGGACTGGCTTGGGTAGAAGGTGAGGGAAGATAAGGAAAAGGCTGGGGCAGGCACCTTCTTAAGGATGATATCAATGTAGCCGGCGATGAGCTGTGCGATCTGCTCCCCTTCCGTTGTCTGTACTGAGTAGTAGCCATCCTGGTAGTCCCCGAAATCCTAGGGTGACAAGGTGGGGGCTCAGTGGGAGAGCCTGCATCTACCCACGATGGAAAAGGGTAGGATGGGAGCCCCAAGGCCAAGCTGGTGAGGGTGTCTTCCCCTGCCAACAGCCCTCTAGAGAGAAGCCTACCCTTCTTCAATTTCCCATTTCTTTATTTTTCTCCCTGGAGGGCAACATTTTGTTTCTGAGGCCAGTCTCTATGCTACATAGTTTCAAACGCATGCTGTCTAAGAAATAGCTTTTCTCTCACCCTGATAATAAAGCTGGGAAAACATTTGTCATTGACACAATTGTGACACAATGACACAAACATTTGTCATTGAATGACCATAATGGAAAGTTAGCACTAGTATCCAAAATGGAAAAATAGCCTTTATTAAATTCTTGTCCCCTCGATAGGGCACTTCATTGAGGTGGTATCAGTTTCTAATCCCTAATACCAAAATATAAAGCCAGGGGGAAAACTATTGTATAGCTGCTGCTGAAAGAGGGGAGGCTTATTTTTCTTTCTTTCACCTTTTTCTTCCCTCTCCCCAAGTCTCCTGTGAGCTCAGTTTGCTGGCTACAGTTAAGTTCTGTGGACTGCAAAGATTGTGTCATTTAAGCACAACTCTCCAGCAAAGCTTCTCCTTCTCTCTGACCCCCAGGGTCCTGTAAAGTCCTCCTTTTTTCTGAAGTCACATTCAGTGCACTATCCCAAGGGAGGGGAGAGACCTCTCAGCTGCCCCCGTCTGGAAATTCCAAAGCCCTTTCCCTCCTGGGCACCCGGACTCACCAGGGTGAAGCTCTTAGGAGAGGCAGCCCAGCGTTTGATGTTGGTGAGGCTCCATTCCTGGATCACCTCTTTGGTCTTCTCATCCACTCGCATCACACACTCCTTAGTGATGCCCAGAAGCCTGGGCACCAGCTTGTTCTTTCCTTTCATCTTTTCCTGTGAGGCAGATTGTTGTTGGTATTAGTGCCAGAGAGGTGAATGAGCAGATCAGATCTAGACCACAAGGGGGTGCTGAGGAGGGTGGGAGAGCTGAATTGGGTGTCTATGGATGGACCCAGGACAAGCTCCACTAGGGAGAAGGCAGGGTCTGGAGGAAAGTTGGTGGCAGAGGGCTGACAACAGGGCAAGTTTTCACAAGGTCAGAGCAAGTAGAGAGAATGGGACTTGTAGGGATGGTGGAAAGTGTAACCAAGGGCAGGGCCTGACTTTGAGAGGAAAGAGTAAGAGTGGAAATAAGGAGGATGGTGAGAAGGGTCTGTGACCCACCTTAACCAGAAAAAAGGAGACACCATAGGTCTTGAGGGAACGGGCTAGCTTCACGTAGCGCACCTTGGCCTCGATCTCACTCATCTGCCCACAGTTCTTGTGTGCCTTAGAGTAGAAAATGGAGAAATGTTTAGCGAAACGTGGGAGGACAGCATCACAGACAAGGAGTTGTGACGTTAACTACGATGGGAGCGTACTGTGGGGGGCACAGGAAAGGTTAGGGGGTGCAAGGTATGAGAAACGAGAGGGTGACGGGATGAGGACTGACAAAGGATATGCAGAAGCAACAATTCAAGGAATATAGTTAAAGAATTTGCAGATATTCTGGAGACGTGAACAGATAGAAAGTAGAAGGTCAGATAGAAGACTTTTGGGGCTGAATATTCAAGAGGTGGGGATAACACTTTATGTTTGTACAAAGATACACTTTTCATAGTAATTTCAGGCATACTATCTCATTTGATTTTCCTATCAATCCTACCCCGGGCAGGTACTGTCATCCCATGTTAGATGCAAAGAAAAAAACAACCAAGAATATTGAACTGAATTCCACAGCAAATGCAGTGATGGAGCTGAGATGAAAAGCCCAGGTCTTCCGCTTTCTTGGCACAGGAGAGGTGGGAGAACAGCTTGGCAGGTGGAAGCGGGGTGGGAGGAGACAAGGAAGGGGCCGGGGGTCCATTCAGTCAGTAGGATTAAGCAGCAAAGCTCCCGGGGCATCCCAAACACTTTCCCCTGCCCCCATTCACCTGGAAGATCTTACGCTCTCCCTTCTGCTTCACATACTCCTTGGGCAGGAAGTCCTTCAGGCTACACCAGAAAAGGGAGGGTCAGCATGTAGTGGACAGCATCGGGGGTATGTGGGCCATGGACTGTGGGCCTAGGGGCGTGAGGAAATGTCTAGGACAGTATTATCTTTGGGGAGAAGGAAAGCTCAAGGGAATAGAGTCTGGATTGTCCATGAAATCGAGATGACTTAGCATTAGCTCTGGAGTGCAGCCTGCGTCTCTCCCTGCAGGGAAAGGGACAAGGGAACCTGAGTTGCAGGCCCAGTCCCTAAGGGAAAGAGTCTAGAGCACTACTGCAGGGAACCAAGAGCAGAAGGAGCTCGGTAGAAGATGACCATGCATGTAGGAAGTTAAGCAAGCGGCGCCGAACTCTATACACTCTGAGAACTCTCAGTGGATGAGACTTGTGAAGCTTTCTAAGTCTAATGTTCCCTATGAGGAAAATGTACCGTTTCCCTCCAGCCACTACAGTAAAATTCTTCAGAGAATCTCAAAAAGCTACATGCTTGCCTGAGAGGTATGGGGTAGAGGCAGATTCTAGGCTACCTTCATGTTCCACAGGGGGCCAGTGAGGAAACAAATGGTTGATGGCAGCGAAACAGGTACCCATGTGGGTCAAACCCTGGTACTTCAGAAGAGGAAATGGAGAGAGAAGGCCCGGGATGGGGGCAGGGCTGTTGGGGTCACAATGGCAGGGAGTCCTGGGTCCTGACAGGGTGTGGGATGTGGGTCACTCACTCGAGGAAGCCAGCCTTGTGCTTCTGTTCATTGTGGGGCCCAAACTGGATCTGGCATTGGAAGCCAGCAAACTCACAGGCCTTGTCGAAGGAGACAGGGTGGGAGCCATTGAGGATGTCATCTCGTGCCTGGAGAGCACAAGGAAAGGAGGTGAATGTTGTGTGGGGGTGCGGGAATACCCCTCACTGTGCTTCTGCCCCCCTCTCTGTACCTCCCTCATCCCAGGTAAATCCTCTCCACACCTGCACATAAAGAAGGTTCAGCTGCACGGGGTCCCGGGAGTCCACATTCTGGTCTGAGTAGAAGAACTTCCTCCGCAGCAGAAGCGTCTCATGCTCCTCCACTCCCTGTTCCCTCAATGTGCGGCCATGGTCCAGCCAGTTCACTGGGACACAGAGAGTCCCCTCAATGCTAAGCCCCCAGGGCGCCTGTGCTGCCTGGTCTTTGACATTCTGTTTGTTTGTTCTTTATCTCCTACCATCTCTCACGGATAAGTTCCATGAGTGTAGAACTTTATTACTGAAGCATCCCGTATCTTAAAACGGCATCTTACAAAAGCAGGTAGTCAATAACTAACAAATAAACAGCTGCCCCTTGGCCCCCTGCCCATTTTCCAGTGCCCTCTTTTTTCTATTTCTGCTTACATTCATCGTCTGTGTGCAACTTCTGCTTTAGTTTCTCCATCTTCTTTTCATCTCGTAGCAGGGTCTTGTCCTTTCGTAAGGTCCCTGTCACCTCCTCCTTTTTCTCTTCCATCAGCTCTCGAACCAGTGAATATTCATCATGGTTGGTGATGCCTGGGGGAGCGCGAGGGGTTGGTAGCATCCCAGGCACTGCACCCGTGTTTTCTGGTAGAGTTGGAGCCTCCATCCCTGAGCCCTCAGCCCCACCAGGACCCCTTACCGATGCGGGCACAGATGGTCATGAGCATGTCGGTGACAGTCTTAGAGTCATCCACCATGATAGTCTTCACAGTTCCATCGAGCATACGGATTTTCAGGGGCCTCTGCTTCTTCCTGTATTCCATGGTGTCCTATTGGGGCGGGAATAGGAGGTAGGAGCCTACTTTAAGCTAGCGGTATTACTTCCTTTTTCCATGGCCAGAGGGGAGGAAAGTAGATTACTGAAGGTAAGATGACGATGGCTCACTCAAAAGCAGGGTATTTTGATTGCCTGTGATAGTCTGGAGGGGGTCAGAGGCAATGGATGTGGGTGCTGAAAACAGGAGGTGGAGTGGGGAAGCTGACGGAAGAGAATGTTGGTGGTCCTTGAAGAAGTGATACTCACCCCATTTCGGAGCATATAGTAATCCAAAGCTTTCCCGGCCTCCAGCCATATGCCTTTTTTGGGGTCGTCATCTGACAGAAACAGCCCAAAGTCGCTGGCTAAAAGAGAGGATGGATCACCTCAGACCTATGAGGACCCCAGTGTGGCTGAATGGCTGCACTGTTGCCCCTTATTATTTCCCCAGGGACTGCGGGCCTAAAGGGGACAGAGGGAACCACGGAACACAGGCGTGAGGGATGAGTAGCCTTGAGGGACAATGGGGTCATCCCTTAAAGCCAAGAGCCTGGGAACAAGAAGGGACTGAAGCCTCCCACCCCACCCACCGAGGTAACTCAGACTCACGAGGGCCAGCCAGGGCCTCTGGGATACGCTCACGAATGATGCGACAGGCATCGTATACCATGGTAGACGGCTCAAACTGCATCGTCTTCACCACATTCCCGATGCTGATCTTCAGCGAAAGTGCAACCATGGTGGCAGCTTCTCCTCTCCAGCCTGGCTACACCTGGTCCGTGGTGTTAGGGCATTAGAGCACACCCTCATTAGAGGAGAGGAGGTCCCTCAGATGGTGCCCCAGGGAGCCGTGTTTTTGAAAGGGACTTACCAAAGCAGATAGTAATGCGATTGTTTTTGTTTCATTTCAGAATTTTAAAGCGTGAAAGATTATTTATACCAAAAGAACCAACCCTAACCATCTAAGATAAGTGAAGGAGAGTCGGTCTGCAAGGTGCAACAGCAGGTCTGAAACGTAGTGTTCCCTGAGGACACTGCCCCATTCCTATCACTAGAATCTGTGCCTCCCTTCTTTCTACCAAGTGTCTCTCTCTTGCCCCTTATCCCTGCTCCTTTCCCAGGCCTGCCTTTGCCTTGTTTTCATCTTTTCTTGGTTCAGTCTTTTTTTCTCTTTGTCTCCCACTATGTCTTGCTAGCTTTTTCCTGTCTGGGATTTTCAGAGCTCTGTCCTGACTCATCATGTGACCTCCCCTGACAGCTTTAGCCTCCTCTGCAAAATGAGGATGTTATATGAGAGAATTCCCGAGAGCTCCTGAAGCCTGCAAACACTGACTCGACCTAGCCCGGCCGGAAGACCAAACACTGGTGGTTCAAGCTATCTAGGCCTACTTTTGTCCCGGTTTTCCTCTAACCTCACAAGGTGGGGGCCTTCCCAAAGAGCCAGGCCCCGTGGTTGGCTTCCCTGGCAGTCAACATAGAATTATGATTCTCTAATCCAGAGGGATCTCAGAAATTACCTAGTCAGCTCCCCAATTTTGCAGAATGGATATCAGACCATGGTGGGGCAGGTGGGGTAGTTTCAAGGCAGGTCAGACAGAGAGCCCTGTCCCTCTAACTCAGTCCTTGCTCCAAGTCACCAAGTTAATACCCAGTCCTCACCACAACTCTCATGCTCTCTGGTTTTCAGCAAGTCCTCCTCATACTCTGCTCTCCATCTCACTGCCTCCCTTGATGGTATTTTCAGTGTAGCTTGTGATATCAGTCCCATGCTCACCTCCCCCACTCTCCTGGCACCACCTCTCAGCAGGCTGGAGGAACCCAGGCTGCAGGTGGCACCCAGTGCACAAGAGGACCAGTCTGCCTGGCAGCTGATGATGTGACCCAGTTTGGTACGGGGATTGGTTCCTCTCAACTAAGAGAATGAGCAAATCCGGGCTGCCGATCCCCCCACCCCGGCAAACTGCTGGCCCCAGGTGGGGAAAAGGGGAAAAGCTGGGCTCGGGGGAAGGTTGAAAACAAGAGGTGGAGGTGCTGGGATACAGCAGCCAGCTGAGAACCAGGAAAAGGGAAGAGAGATGTATTTGGAGAATAAAGAGGTTAGGAAGGATGAGGTGAAGGGGACTGGAAATCTAGGTAGAAACAGGAGGCAGGCAGATGTGGGAAAGGTGTGGATCAGGGAATCTGATAGACATTTCTGACCTTATAAACAGTCCAGAGTCTCACAAGAGAAGAAACCACAGCTCACTCTCTGTTTTTATTTCCAAACAAGATAGGACCATTCCAGTCTCCCAAGTTCCAGCTCGCTGCCCACCTCCCCATTCCTCGGCCACCTCTCCCAGTAGCTTGACAGACCTGGCTGTGGGGTTGCTGGAGGGCTGGAGGGTCAGTGAAGTAGAGCAGTCAGAGGAGCTGAGGGCAGGACTGAAAGGACCCTCTACCCTAACCTGAAATTGCATGTCTCCCCCATTTCCTCCGGACATGGACGCCCCCATCTTCTTCACGGAAACCTCTGGTGACACCCCGATAAGGGAGATGAGTCATGCCTAGCCTTATTCCCACGCTGGTACTGAGTGGACACCCATACAGCTACCAGAGGGTGAGGGAGGAAAGGGAATTAAAGAGTGAACTGGAGGTGATGAGGGCAAAGAACAAGGCCCTTGGAAGTATGGGGAGAAGCTATCCAGTTCCTGCTCTGGCCTGAGAACTTTGCTCCCGTTTCCATCATGTTTTATGGGACAGCAACAATGCCCCCCATACCCTCCTCCCAGGGAGCTCCTCCTCCCTCAAGACATTCCTGAGATGCATTCCAGAGGAGTTGGGCAATTGGGGGGGGGGAGGGAATGGAGGACAAGAGGTCAAATCCCAGCAAGGAATGGAATGTCAATGTACGGGGGGGGGGGGGGGGGTGGTGGTGGTGGTAAAGAATCGGGGGTACACGGAGATATAGTCAGAGCAGATACCCACAAGGGGAGCTGCAGGAAGACAGGGAGCTATAGAGAAGTACAAGGGAGAGAGAAAGCTGAAGACAAAGTCAGAACGTATGAGGGTTGGGGGAGTAACACTCACTCTGTTACCAAATTTGGCCTCTGAGTCCGCAACCGCGGTGGAGGGGGGGGAGGACTGTGGGTGAGACTGACATATCCGGCCTCAGGCTGCTGGAGGCTCATTTAGGGCTGGACTGGGCAGCTGAAGGGCTGGACCTGATCTCCCTCACCATAGCCCCCTCACCACCTACACCCTACCCATGCATTTTCACCCTCCCTAACTGCACCCCAGCCTATGCACAGAGCTCTTTTTCACAAAGCTACTTACACTGTCTCCACACACGTTATCTCAAACATGCAGTCCCTACGCAGACCCTATCACAACCACGTTATCTTCCCGTAAAGACCCCATCCCACTCACACAGCTTCCCCACAAACACACCTCTATCGGTAAGTGAACAACTTGCCCCAACATCTCCCATTACACATTCTCCCTCCATTCATCCAACAAGCAGTTCTGAGGGTCTGCTGTAGAAAAGGCTCTGGCCTAAACTCTCACTGACTGGGAAGCAAGAAGAGTAAGCCGTAGCCTTCGCTTTCAAGGGGCTCCCAGTTAGTTGAGTGGATAAGCTAAATATAGAATTTTAATACAAGGCAGGATGTGGTAAGAGTCCAGAGATGCGTCCTCAGGGGAGAGATCCCTTTAGGTCAGAGAAGAGGGACCAAAAAGTCTCTGTGAAAAGTGTCATTTGAAGTTAGGACTTTATTAAAGGTAATAAAAAATCATAATGATCTTTTATTGACCATTATGTCACTTTCCTCGTATACATGATTTCATTTAATCCTTACAACAACTTGGCAAGGTAGGTATCATTATTTCCATTTTTACAGATTAGGAAATTGAGGTGCAAAGATGTTAAATACTTGTTCAAGGAACTTCTCCAAAGTCATACAGCTTATTAAGTTGTGAAGCCAGGATCTGAATCCACATGCTTCTCTGACTCCGAAGCCCAAGCTCTCTATGCCAGCCAGAGGTGAGTCAGGGCTGGCATTCCAGGCAGAGAGAATAGCATAAGCAAAGATGGAGAAGCAGCTAATCGCGGAGGAGCATTCAGGGAACTGAGTAGGTAGGCTGGTTAAAGCACAGGGTACCTGCAAGGGAGCAGTGATGGGGAAGTCAGGGTTAGTGTGGAAAGGGAAGGAGAGGACTAGAGAGAAAGGAGTATTTTACCTACTGAAGGGCAACAGGAGGTCAAGGGAGGCTTTGAGCACAGAAGGGACATAACCAGAACTGGATTTTGGAAAATAACTCTAGCAGTTACCTTGGAGATTGGTCAGAAAGACACCGTATTAGCACAAATGAGAGGCGTTGTCAGTAGTTAGAATGGTAGAGAGGAGGATGTTGGTCAATTGTAGTTTTAAGAGGACCCGATGACAATCTGTCCTATCAACCTTCAGGGACCAGAGCCCGAAGTTACACTGGGGTCCCATAGCTTCTATCACCAGTAGGCTTTCAGTGACTGGGGTGGCTTGAGTTTGGGTAAGGAGTTGGGAAGGGAAGAAGGAAAGGGTCGGTTGATCTAGGTATATGAAGATGAGGTGGTTAGCACCAGGCATGGGCAGAAAGGATGAGGTTAGTGACTGTATTGGACTAGAAATGGGGAATACAAAGTGTAGAGAAAGGCTGGGGAAGCTGGTGATAGGAAAAATACATATATGACCAGTCACTGGACCCAGCTAGGGGAAGGGGAAAAATAATTGTAAGTCAGGGAATGAAAGAATGAGGTCAGAGGCCAGAGCAAGAAACAGGAGGCTGAGAAGAGGTGGGGCTGTGGTCAGTGGCTAAATAAGGCTGAGATGGGGGGAGAGCGAAGGGACACCAGCAGTGTCTAAGCAAAGCTGGGGCTAGTGGGGGGTGGGGTGGGTATAGGGCACAGCCAGTGGCTGGGTCACGCTGGGGTAGGGTATAGTGCTGTGGTCAGTGGCAGGGTCAGGCTGGGAGTGAAATGGAGGTGTGGTCAGTGGCCTGGCTGGGCGTGAGATCAGCAAGACCCAGTTTCCTCTTTGGGTCTCGTTTCCTCTTTTCTGTTTGGGGAGTGGGGGAAGGGGATCTACAACTGGATCAAGAAATTAAGGAGGCTTAGAACCAGGGGTTGGCACATAGCAGGGCCTGGGAGTACTGGACAGTTATATTGGGCTGGGGGTGGGGTATTAGGAGATGACCACGAGGTATGCAGGTAGGTGAGTGAGTGAAAATGTGGAAGAGTGTTTTAAGAGGATGGGAAAGCTCAGATTTGGGAAAGGGCAAAATATGGTAGGATGTGAAGATTCAGGGGTAGGAAGGGAGGCAGAATGGCAGCTGGGAACCGGTGGTAAGATGAACAACATGGGGAAATTACCGGTGAGGGGAGAATTCTGTATGCAGGATTGTGCTTGCAGAAAGGGGGTACGCAGGGAGGTGTGAACTGCAGGGCCAGGGAGGAGAGCTGGAGAGAGGACTTAATAACTAGAGAATGAGGGACCTGGGAGGCAGTGGGGCTGAACTGTCAGAGGATTCAGTCGTCTCTTTCTTCCATGGCAGCAGTGTTTCCTCGGTGGGCTGCTACTTAATCACAGCCCCTTCTCCCTAAGCAGTCCTCCTCTTATGACTAGGCCTTGTACATCTCCTGTGTCCCAGTCCCTTTCCCAACTCCTACCTTGTAAACAACATAGTCCAGAAACCCCTGCCCCTCAACTGTGGTGACCACATCAAGAGCCTTGGGTTTAGAGAACAGAATAAAGAAGCTAGAATCTCAGATGCCTGAAATTCTAGCAGAAGCCCAGAACCCTAACCTGAAATTAGTCTGTCATATCTCTGGGCTAAAGGACCTCTGCAACCATGCAGGAATGAGACCTCCCCGCAAAACAAGAGTGCCTACGTACTGCCAATCTCTTAAATTTTATCTATCTGAGGTCAACTACCCTGACCTCAACCATAACCCCCCTAAAACTAATCCTAATTCCTAACATTAACCCTGACCTTAATTTGTTTCTTGTTCCCAATACTGGCTTTGACATTCATCCCTTTCCTAGCAGACACCCATATCCAATCATTGATCCCTAATATTGATCTAATTTTTACCACTAGCACCAAATTCCCTGACTTTAACCCTAAATGTTGATCCCTAAGCCTAAAACTCCTTTGTCACTTGATTCCTGACCCATCCCCTTCGCTATTTACCCCGGTACTGTCCTAATGTTTTGTAACCTCTAAAACTAGATTTCTAATTTAATTCCTGTGCTGACCCTTAACCTGGCCCTGAACCCTAACTTTGACTTAGGTTGGCTAGAAAACAAAAATAATGACCTAATCCAAACTTTATGTACATAAAACGGACCTGACTCAGGCCAGTAACTCTAAATTTTAACTCCACCATTATATCTCCTAAAGCCAACCTTGATTCCTAAACCCAACTCCACCTAATCCCAAACTCACCAGAAGCTCCCTACCCCTATACCCGCTATCAGCTAACCTCAAAGCCGATCCCCGCCCTGCGCCTCACTGCCACCCCACTCGTCACCCTCCCCAAAACTTTTCCCAGACAGAGGACTGATCCCAGGAAGGGCCTGGCACCCTTAACGGCCTACTTAACTCCGATCCCAGGCCGAGATACACTGGACGATGACCACTCCAACAGTACCCGAAACAGGAGACGCAGGAGAAGTCAAGGGCCCTGCCTGCCTCCCTGCCTGTTTTCTGTCACCTGGCTTCCGCGACTCTACCTTGAGATTCTCGGGTTCGGCCTGGTCTGCCTAATGGTGCTGCCTGGTGAGTCTGCCGGGCCCGCTAACCTGCTCTGTTCTCCGGTGGCACCGTTCCCGGCCTCGCCCCTTCTGACACTCCCTGGGCAAGCCACTTCCGTCCCCGAAACGTCCCCCACCCGCGGGCGGCGCCCTGGGCCCGCGCTCTATGGTTGCGGGGACTGCAGGAAGCTGCTCTGGCCCCAGCTCTCGATGCTCGGGAGCCGGCGAAGAGAGGGGCTTCCTGCCCCTCCCCGGCAGGAAGCAAGGGTGCGGCGCAATCCGGAGAAAACGTCCGACTGCGCCCGAGTTCCCTTTTAGTCTCTAACCCTTCCTTTTTTCGGCCGGGGGTCAGGGCGGAGCCTGTCTCCCTTGGGGAATGCCCGCCCTGAGGGGTGAGTAGCAGCAGGGGACGTCCCCTTATTTGTGAGCTCCCTGGACGCAGTGCAGCCTATGGCTATTTCCGCGTCAAAGGAACCCAACCTGAATGCCTGGAGAATACCAAGTTGTGTTGGGTTGGTGAGAATCGAGTCTTGGGGCTGGTGCAGGTGCAGCTGACAGTCCGTGGAGTTGTGACAGGTGAGGGGTGAGCTTTTTGTGTTTTTGTCCATCTTCCCGTGATATCCGGTATGGAGTTGGCATTGGGACTGGGGGACCAGGAGCTGGACTT